AAGCCGGCTGTTTTCAAGAATGTTTGGCCCCATTTACTGTCATGTGGGTGAGAGTAGCAAGAATGGTATTAGTTGAACGTTATGTGGTCTTATGGTATGACTTTATGTAGTCATGTTTTTTTTCTAAAAGTTTAAAATTTCGCCATTCATTTGCATGGCTCGAAATATGCGATTTAGGGGGGCCCGCAAGCCCTTTTCCGTAGAGCGTAATCGGCCGTTTTAATTCTATGTAGAGCGTAGACGGCGTTTTTGCGTAGAGCGTATTCGGCGTTTTAATTCTACGCAATGCGTTGGAATTTATCGTAAAGCGTAATCGAGAGGTTTCCGAATTCAGCGTAGAGCGTTGTCGGGACCCCCCCCCCCCTTGCAGGCCCTCATTTAGTGCACCTTGACTTGAATTTTAACTGTAGGTGAATGCACAAGATATATGCATAGAATTACTTACGTCTCTTCTTGGACCTTGGCTTTGTCATGCCAGACGGCCGCCTGACATCTTCTCGGAATTTTCTGAAAATACAGAATTTTCTGTCAGAAAAAAAAAATTATAAAACGTTGTTGTAGAACTTGTTGAATTTTTTTAGAGTTAGAAACAGACTGAATTTTAAATTCTATTTCTGAATAAAAAAGGCAGTAAGGTTTTGGTGCAACAAAGATCTCGTGCACGTAGTGACAAAATATAGGACGATCACGTGGTCACGACTGCTAGATCATATTACTGTGTTATACGGGTAATCATCTGCCTTTTAAGTCTTGGAAGGCGACGGGTTTCTCCAAGGACGTTCATAGAACCTCCTTGGTTTGTCATAGTAGGTCCCAGCACACGGGTAATATGTCAAAGAACCCACATACTATAGAAGAAGTGGGTAAATTCGTCTTCCATTGCTTAAAAAGAAGAAGTCTAACCCAGTAAAACTAGTACCATGCATGTTGTAGAATATAGTATAATGCTAGACGTAGATATAGTCTCACATACCATTGTATTTTCTTTCTTATGTTGTTTGTAACTGCAATTAGCCCTCGGGCATGTATTTGCAATAAACTTTCTTTCTATATCTTTAATGATCAATATGCACCTATTATTTACCAGAACATTACTAGTAAAAAAAATACTATCACTATCTCTCTCTCTTTCTAACAAGCATATTCAAGTGCACGATCATTCTGATAAATACTCTTAATTCTAACATACACTATCTGTAGATAGACCAGTGATCATATGAGCACCTGTGTGCTTTATTAGGTCACGTGAATAAATAAAGTTTCTCTCGATCAAACATATCTGCCCCTCCCCCTTTTTCAAGGTTTCCAATCGATACATCAACTTTTACGCCAAGTTTTTTTTTTTTATTATTCAATATCTGTACGTAGACAAAACGATGATCACACATGTATAAGCGTCTCATTACTTTGTTTCGTCATCATACAATAAATAAAGTTTCTCTCGATCTGCCCCCCTCCCCCTTTCCCAAGGTCTCCCGTCGCTGCATTACATCAACTTTTACGCCAAGCTTTATAATAATTCACTCTCTGTACGTAGACAGAACGATGATCATATTTTAAATACTTTAATACTTTAAATGCATAATCAATCAATAGTTTGTGCATATATTAAAACCTGCATTTCTCCTCTGGTCTCTCAGTCACTGACGAAAGCTAGTGGAAAGTAGCTGAAACGTCTGACCGTTTCCCAAATCATATCCAGTTGCTTGAGTAACTGCTTTTTGGCGTATCTTATTACCTGGATGTCTAACCTTCACCGACGAATAAAGTTTCTCTCCATTTGCCCCCCTCCCCCTTTCCCAAGGTTCATCGAACAGTGTTCTATCGAACTGTGTTCGATTTTCCCGCCTCTGTGCGGAAGGGAGAGCCTTTCCGTGACTGTCGAACTTCGGGAACACTGTCATGGAGTTGCTCTCTTTTCCGCGCGAGGACAAAGCAACAAACGACGACAGAAAACAGCAAACAACGAACTTACCGGACGACTTCTTCGAATTCGGATGAGCCGCCATCTTGTTGTCATGGGAACGAGCTCCTGTCATCCCGATCCCAGGGTACTGTCCTCTTGGGTAAGGTAACTTATTTTACTGTCATTTTACAGGTGCTACATTCAGTTGTGCTCTATAACTTAAAGTATTGCAACGGGATGGAATACAACGTATAACAACTTTATATTAAGATATTTTCCGTCTCCTTTTCAATTGTATGACAAGCTTTTCGTAGATGGCAAAGTTCGTTACTTTGTGGATTATGCAAAAAAGTTTAAACTTATTAACCAAGACCTGTAAACCGTTGGGAGCTTCTAATATATTTTTTTCCTGGCGTCAGTTTTGTGGAAGCAATTCTCAAGAAGCCGAGCACTATTAGAACTGACATACCATCAGAAAGAAGTGTATTATAAAAAGAGAGAAGAGATCCTGTAGTTAGATCCTGTAGATAGATAAATAGCACACGAATGTAACAATGACTTCTTCTATTCTTGTTACCAAGTTATTTAACTTAAGTGCATTTGGCCCGTGTAGGGCGTGAACATGCAATAACGTTCATTGTCATTGTCATTGTCATTATTAGCCAATAAAAAGCCTTGCATCCTTCAAATGAGACTATGCCCTAACATTGCTATACTCTTAAACTTGTACATCCCTTAGAAATTCAATAAAGATCCAGAATAAAATCTTCAGTGTATCTGTTTGCGTTTCTCGTTTTCATGTGTTTTATCTGATCATATATGCATCTCCAGTATTCCTTAATCTAATTATTTGACCCTTGGGGTACCACAGAATATCTGGCAACCAGGTTTCTGATATTCTTAAACTGTTCATCTTTATCAAGTATAAAAGGGATATAAGACATGTCTGAACAACAAAGTTCTTTATTCACAGCCACTTGTTAAACAAGAGCCGACGTTTCGATGACCGTTTGTCTTCTTCATCAGGGCAATTCTGACTGGTTCACTGTGCACTGGGGCTGGACTCTACCAGGCTTCGGGAGGCGGCTGGAAAGAGCTAGTAGAAATTGGCCAAATAGAGAGATAACATGCGAACTCCCCCAGCATGTTATCTCTCTCTATTTGGCCAATTTCTACTCTTTTCAGCCGCCTCCCGAAGCCTGGTAGAGGCTACTGAAAAAGTAGAAATTGGCCAAATAAACAGAGAAAGAAGAACTGTACTCCTTTAGCGGACCAATTCCCCTGGCATGTTATCTCTCTCTATTTGGCCAATTTATACTCTTTCCAGCCGCCTCCCGAAGCCTGGTAGAGGCTACATTGAGGCTAGGTTTCTAGCCTCTACCAGTCGCGAATGGACCTATACCACAGTTTGTTTACCTGATCTAAAGAACATTCTAGAACAGTCAGTTAAAGAATAAAGATCATTTCAAAGTTTTCAAAGTCAGGTATGTCTGATTTTTACTGCGTCTAGTTGTGTTGACACAGCATTACATGCCGCATGGGTGATTTAGTTGTGACATTAGAAGAAAGTAGTACTGTATTAAAAGCCTTATATTAGGCTAACGCTACACAAACACACACCGCGCTACACACCCCTGTACAATACAAACGTCGATTGACCGGCATTCATTGCGGTAAACAAGCTGTGACGTAATAATGGTATAGGTCCATTGGATCGTCTATGGCCTGGGATCTTCTCTGGTATACTATCCCTTTATTTCGGCCAATTTCTACTCTTTCCAGCCGCCTCCTGAAGCCTGGTAGAGGCTACACTGAGGCTAGGCCTCTACCAGTCCGTGGGTTGCGAATTGAGTCTTCTATGGCCCGAGATCTTCTCTAGTATACTATCCCTTTATTTCGGCCATTTTCTACTATTTTCCCAGTCGCCTGCCGAAGCCTGGTAGAGGCTACACTGAGGCTAGGTTTCTAGCCTCTACCAGTCGGATCTTCTATGGCCGGAGATCTTCCCTGGTATACTATCCCTTTATTTCGGCCATTTTCTACTATTTTTCCAGCGAGCCGCGGTGCCTGGTAGAGGCTACACTGAGGCTAGGTTTCAATCAGTAACCAACCTGATGAAATTATTCACGGATATGCAGACGTCGTTGAGAATAGATTGAACACACGCCCACAAAATCGGCACAACAGTCCGCAGTTGCCATCACATTTCGGACCGTTGAATGGGTAGAAACGCGATACATTTGTCGCGTCGGGACCGTCTGTTTAGCCTCCATAGCACGCCAAAAACTGGGGGTTTACTTTTGGGGGTCTTCATGATCTTTGGGAGCTTTTATGTGCTATTTATGATTGCATAGCCGGCCTGGTTGAATTACCCCCGTTTTTATTAGAACTGGGCTAATCAGAAAACATCCGAAGACCACCAAACCCCCAGTTCTATAAGCCTGCTACGGAGGCTACCGTCTGTTGAAGTCAGCAGGCTTGAGGCGGGTTTTTAGTAAACTTGAACAAGAAAAGGATCTTCGGTCCCACCCCCCGCAGACGTATTGGTGTCGCCCTGCCCATTGGGATCTACCCAGGCGTGCTATTGCCGGTGAGTGGCGGGTGAAATATGATATGTGTCATGGACTATACCATCAGACAGGCTTGGGGGTTAATACTTTGGTTGTTTGATAGCCGCGTCTATGGAATACTTCAAGCACATCTGGTCGTTTTTCAATGACATCACAGAGAAAAAATGTGAAAACTAACCACGAATTTTACACAAAAAGGTGTTTCCGACATATTTTAAGTCGGCGATTTGTAGAAGAACATGATATAAAAATATATTCGAAAGTCATGAAAACGCTCTCAAATTGTAAAAGTTAATGTCGTTCAGCCAAAGGTATTGGGCGATAGGAAAATACTAGTATTGCATTCCATACAGAAGCGCCCCTGGGCTTCATACTTGGTACTGCAGCTCAGGTATGTCTACTGATTTTTTCCCGCCAAATTTCCTAGCTTTCTTTTGTAAAAGCCGTCTGCGGATGACGTCATCAGACTGGACTGCACCTCCGAGTTGCTGTGACTCCTGCACTTCCAAGTAAATCCGCGTGCGGCGCTTTTCACAGATCCAAGCACCATGCCCGCCACAGGTCATAGTTCATTGCCATGGCAGCTGACGTCATTTTATCTCTGCCACAGACAATATAGAGACTTGATATTGCACTAGAAAAATTGTCCATGGTTTTTTAGAAACCGCACGCGTATACAGTTCTGTAAAATGTTTTGTAGATCATCTTGTAGTAGGATCTGAAATCAAGAAGACAACGAACAATTAAAGTCATATAGAAACTAAAAAAGGTAATTTGATCAAATAATCTGATTTCAACTGTATGGCATGTAAAAATTGTAACATCTTAACTACTAGTATAAGGTAACTACAGACAAATAAGTAATCTACTATTACAGACTTATAAAACCATCACAATAAAAAAGGTACTATGCTGTAATCTCTTTCTGGTGACATGAGAAACGTAACAAAACCTCCAGAAACAAGAAAAAAAAATAAAGGTAAATTGCTCTCTAAAAAATTTCTAGTGTTTTTCTAATCTCCAAGCAGATCATACGGTGACCAAGCAGTATCCATTGGCCAGAGGAGTGGCTAATGGACACTCCCCTGACCAATGGATACTGCTTGGCACCATAGGATCTGCTTGGAGATTATGATCTATTGCAATCTATTAGTATTATGTGTTATATGTTTAGAGTTCAAACGTTTGGTTCAACACGAAAAAGTAGACTGGCCCAGTGAAGCTTGTCACGTGGCTTCTTTGAAGTGTGACGTCAACACTGGGTCAAAGGTATCTGGTAGACGATGTATTGGACCAAAAGTTTGAACTCTAAATATGTAACTACCAACACAGATGAACTTTCATGATAGTACATGTATGTGTTTTATGTATACCTTTCTTTAACGCAGGTGCCCAGGCCGAACGGGCCGCACTTTACTTTAGCGACGGCTGTGAACTTCTTCTTGTAGCCTCTTCTGTATGGCTCCGAGGAACGCTGGTACGTTTTACATCGTCTGGGGAGGGTTGGAAATACAGACAGAACTTAAGGCAATCAGAGGTGGCAGACTTCAACTCTTGCATAAACTGCACTGTAGAAACATACACAGATAGACAGACACACACACACACACACACATATATACACACAAAGGCATACACACACAAGTACATGCACATACACATGTACACACACAGGCACACACAAACACACACAAACACACACACACAAACACACATACACATACACACACACACACACACACACACACACACACATATACACACAGGCATACACGCACAAGCACATGCACACACACACACACACACATGCATACACGCATACACACGCACACACACACACACACACACACACACACACACACACTTTAATCTTAACATTTATTCATAATGTATATATTTTATATATAATTTATTCAGAGCTTTTCTGTAGTACTGAGTTTACATGCTAGGGGGCGTTCTTAAATGTACTGTGACTACAGAACAGCAGGTTACCTGTGTTGACAATGGCTGCCATGGAAACCGTTTCGACACAAGCATTTCCCGGATGTGCTGCATTTCCCGCCATTCTGACAACCTTTGACCCCGCAAAGACCTGTGGACCAAACCAATAAGGTCAATGACCTGAACCAGACGGTCTGTCACCATGGTACTGGTGTTGGGTTACATCTAGTTGCAATTTTATAGCAGGAGGGATTTAGACTCTTTGTCACCATATATGTGAATGTGTTTGAGTATTAAAGAATTAACAGAGCAGACCATATGCGAAGGTAACCATGTTTGCAAATATTACCTTTCTAGTTCTTTATGTCATCATATCAACAAAAAAAGCATTTAATTAAAATGTCAGAATGTCTTACTTTTAAGACAAGCAGGAGATTTTCTCTTTCTGAAGCAAAGGCGACTGTTGAAAACAACTGCTTGGTTACCGTTTCTCTTGTGTTGTTTGGTGATATCTGAGGCAGGTAGGATGAGAACATGGATGAAAACAGTGAGGTGGAAAAGACTGATTCCACTAGCCTCTACCATGGAGAGATAAGCATGCCAAGGGAGTTTGTCCGTTGAGAGAACATTTCGCCGCACCCCACTCAACGGACAAACTCCCTTGGCATGCTTATCTCTCTATTTGACCGATTTCTACTCTTTCCAGCCGCCTCCCCAAGCCTGGTTGAGGCTATGATTCCACCATTTTTTTTACATAAAACGTGCATTATTGAATATTGACAAAAAGAATTTCATTAAATTTCAAATGAAGGCTGAATATCATTTACCAAAACATATTAATACCATAAACTGTTGTTACAAATGCAGAAACGGTATGAATATCCTTAAAACGCTAAATATTTTACTTTAATAGATATAAGTATCCACTCACCAATTTCACAGGATTTTCCCGTAAATCCCTTGCGGCAGGAACACACCCCAGGCCTGACACAGCGGCCGCCATTTTGACAACCTTGACGACAGATCGCTGCCAAGGTCAGAGAAGTAACAGAGTTTAAGTACAGACTTTACACCTCGAAGTGATATTTTAAACTTACAACGAATCAGAAAGAGATAATATAGCTATATGTAGGTTACGAACAATACAGATGTCTTTCATATTTTCCACAAAATGTCCCCGGATTTTAGGTCACCGAAAACGGATGTTTTGACGTATATTTCCTGATTTATCGTTCTATTTTCCTCACAAAAATATCAATTATCTGCATGAGAGATCGTAAAGAAATGACATAGGGAAAACAGTTATTAGAGACCTTGAAGAGCTGGGTTTCACGTGGGAAGGAGCATGTAGACTAGCCTCTACCAGGCTTCAGGAGGCGGTTGGAAAGAGTAGGAATCGGCCAAATAGAGAGATAACATGCCAAGGGAGTTGATCTGCTGGGAGAGAACATTTTGCCGCACCCAGGTACCAGCAGACAACTCCCCTGGCATGCTTATCTCTCTATTTGGTCGATTTCTACTCTTTCAAACCGCCTCCAGAAGCCTGGTACGTAGGCTACATGTAGACAGGCACAGGACAGAAGAGAGTGGAGACGATGATAATGATGATGATAAAATTGTTAGAGAGATCTGTCTACCTTTCCGGCATCGCGGTCCGACGTACCCCCGGGTACAGACACACCTGTCTGGCGCCGTGCAGGTTCCGCCGTTCTCACAGGGCAGCCGGCACAGGGCTGTGGAACCACATCGGTAGGTTTTTTTCTTCTTCAAAATTTATTCACAGAAGAGTACAATACAAAACATAGTAATTGACAGTCAAACATTGCTGAGGAATATTTAAACATGGATATTATATCCCTCCGGGAATTAAACATATTGTTTTTGCTCAGTTTCTTCCTCTTCTTCCTCTTCTTCTCCAAACACTAGTGACCTATGACCTGTCACCTGACCAATGACATGATTTGTTGACGTCTGTCACTATGGTGACTGGCGTTGGGTTACATAATGTTGCAATTTCGTGGTCTGCTCTGCTCTTGTCACCATGTACTAGTAGTACATGTATGTGAATGTGTTTGAGTAAGACTTAACAGAGAAGACCATGTCCATTATACAATTGCTTTGCAAATGTTACTTCTCTAGTTGTAGACGTATTTTCACCTTGTTCACACGCCTGTCCTGTGTATCCGTCCGGACAGCGGCAGGTGTTTTCTGACGTACACAGACCTCCGTTCTTACACGCCCTCGCACAGGACCCTGGGGAAAAAAGGGTTATAAGAAAAATGTCACTGGTGTCCATGGTTTCATATATTTATTAAATAAATAATATTTTCTGTGTTCTTAAAAGTCTATGGTGTAATCTTAAGACTCTAGCGATTGCAATGGCAGAATCAGAGTCACGTGATTGCAAAGGTCTTATATAGACATCTGAACGTACCGACAGGCTTCTGGATTTCTGACGCCATTTTCCTGCTGGTGACGTCAGGAATCGCGCTGGTGGCGAATCGCGGGTTAGCTTCACTCTCGGGCATCAGAGGCTGGATGTCGTTGGCAAAAGTGGTGACTTCTTCAAGACATTTCGTGTCTTCTTCCTGTGGTGTAAGGAAAGAAGAAGTGTAAGAGTTAAGGAGAGTAGAAACAGAAAGACAATCCTGGTCCCGGGCCGGGGATCGAACCCACGCCAAACCCGCCAGGGCACCAGCTTCATAACCCGACGCTCCTACCTCAACAGAGACGGGGGGCGCCATACTCAACCTATGATCCACTGCTCACGAAGTCATGTGTGTTATCTGCGGGACGTCACGGAAGCGGTGGATTGCTCATTCCTTGACAAAGACTGGAGTTGTGTCCAATTTCTTGTGTTGGAAATTACAGTTTAAACTTGCTTGATGATGATTTTTACCAACACAGATGAACTTTCAAGATAAGTTGTTAAAGCTTGTTGGATTTCTTTGCAAACTTGTTCTTCGTGGAATGTTTTGTATGTTCGTCCTTGCATACTCACACTCGGCTTGGCGCCATTCTGACACTGCAGAGCTGCGTCGTTAGGGTCGTCAGAGAACACCAGCTGTTCAAGTTCCCCCTGTCGGAAAGGAAACAAAATCGTTTTATTCCATCACAACACAACAGAAAGGTACACAGTGATCAAATTTTCAACGACCACTACCGCCTTAACATGAATGACCAATAACTTCCGAGCGTAATCTCGCGAGAGTTACGGTTACAGACACGTGACTTTATTCACACGAGACTGGAATAAAGCTCAACATTTTACCTTGATTACTACCAAGTTAAGCACAGATGATCTTTCATGAAAAATTGTTTTGCTTAAAATCAACTCTCGCCATTGATGCTGCGTTACTTCATTATTCAACTTCAAATGCCAAGCTGTTTCGTAAAAGGGGGGAAAGTATGTAACGTTACTTCTCTACAGTAATAAATGTCTTTTTGGTTTCAAGCAGTAGCATAGAGAAAAAAATTATACAAAGTTGGACCTACCTGGAAATTTGGTCCAATAGTAAGAATCCCGGTATTGTCGATATGTGGAGTTTTTGACCTCTGTATTACCGCCGTCATTTCGATCCTGCAGTCCATGTAGAACGTGACCTCCGACCCTTGAACCCGGAAGGAGAACTGGTGCCACTTGCCATCGGCAAGGTCGACAGAAAAGCGGGGTGACCTCGAAGTTGGTTCGCCGCCCAATTCGGCGTACCGAAAAGTTGGCATGTTCCCTACTTCTATTGCTGCAAGTCATAGATAAAAATGTAAAATTTCTTAAGTCAAACATCAAACATGATTAAAGTGATATCATGTAAGATTTTTGCACCAAAACTGAATAATAATTGAAATCTTCTCATCATGTTCGATAATTTTCAACATATTAGCTTCGCTATTTCGCCTTTTCGGCAACTCAGTTGAAATTCTACATAATATTTGAACATGATATAAGTTTTGTTTTGTGCCAAATACTGTTGTATACTAGTATGTGGTTTTATCTTTGTATGAACCCTAGAAGATTATTAGCATTTTGGGCTAATTAAAGGGCATCGAAATAAATAGAGAAAAAGAAAGAGAAACAGTCAAAGAGACGTAAGAAAGACATAAGAGGAGGCTAGGAGAGTAGGCAAATAAAAGAGGGGGAAAAGAGAAATGAGCACGATGGACAAGAAACATACACAGAGCACATGTCCGTTTTCTGTTCAGACGTTTATAAAGATAGAATATCATACATATATTCTTACCTATTTGAGTTTCGCCCGAAGAACTGGCCACTGTGGTCAGGAAACCTCGGGAACCCTCGCGAGGTTTCGCGGTAGCGATGACCGCAAAGTCTGACGGGAAGGCTTTGGGAAACAAGATGGCGGTTGGGAAGGGAAGTTCCCGGATGTGGTGGAAGAGGAAGGCCAAAGGTCGCTCTTTGCTGGGCGGCACGTTTGAAGCATCGACGAAACGTAAAAGATCTTTTACACCTGTAAAAAAGAATAACATTTAATTGCAGGAGTTTTTTTTAAAGCTTTCTATTGATGATTAGCCTGGGCTCCCACAGTCGCTACCACCAACCATATAGCGACTGTGGGAGCGGACGTAAACTAACCAGGATGGAACCCAGGCAAGTGATGATGCCCCAACTGTGCTTGCTGGCAAGACTCTACGATAGTTTTTGTAAACTACAAGTTTTTTAACATCTCAATTCTTGGCTGATAACTCTGATGTTTTTAACGCATGGCCGTTTCTTGTTCTTTTCTTGGCTAGCGCTGGTGAATGTGAATATTTTGCAACCCCACGTCTGCTTGCACCCCGAAGTTGTTGTGTTCTGGTTGGCGGCGTGGCGCCGCGGCTGCAGGATCGGAAGTTTGCCGGTTGAAGTGGGACAACAGGCAGACATGTTCCCGGCTGATCTTATCGGAGGCCGCGTTGAAAACCTGTCGGCCTGACGTTAACAAGGTCTCCTGGCACCTGGCAGGGCAGAGGCTGGGCATGGGGGTTCTAGTGACACCTGGCGGGACAGAGGCTGTGTTGGGGTGGGGTGGGGGGGTGTACTGTAGTCCACGTGTATCCAGAACCCGGGGAAAATCTACCTTGTTCGGGATACGCCATAACCTCTCTTTTGTCCTTTTTGTTCCAGTTTTCGACCTACACCGATCGACTTGTTACACCTAGCCCTTGGACATCTACCTCTAGACATTATTTAAAGCTATCTAATGACAATGCCCCTACTGTACTTGGTGACAGCGAGTTCCACTCTTCGATAATTGTTTTTTTTTTCGTTCTTTTTGTTCAAACTCCATCCTGATGACCTTTACTAACCGTTCCATAACCCCGAAAAAAACAAGATGGTGGCCACCATGTTGGGGCAAATCTACCTTGTTTGGGATGCGGCATAATTTCTATTTTATCATCTAGTTTTCGATCTACTTCGTAATGACCTCTACTACTTTAGTAACCGTTCCATGACCCTGAAGAAAACAAGATGGCGGCCACCATCCATCATGGAACGGGGTGACGATTTAAAAGCGGCCATTACAGGCCATTACCCGTCATTACCGATAAGCACCGCGCGCCGCTTGTTTAGCGTCACAACAAACACAGTCCAGGCCGGGGCTGGTGGAACTGCACCGGGGAACAACCGAAGGACGGGTGGACAGACAGTAAATACTAAGTAGCCTGGAGCAGACCTACAGCAAAGACCATACAATCAAGAAATAGCAGTGCCTTCAAGTACCTGAGAGTTATCAACCAAGGATTGAGGTGTTCAAAAAGTCGGTCTTTCCTAGAACTAACGCAGAGTGGAACTCACTGTCACCAAGTACAGTAGAGGCATTGTCATTAGATAGCTTTAAACAATGCCTAGAGTTAGATGTTCAAGGGTTAGGTGTAACAGGTCGATCGGTGTAATGTAGCCAGCTGCCGCCGCGCCGCGTGCCTGAGAAGCTGCCGTGTGTTATGCCGAAAGGCGGTTATACCGGCTATACAGATACAGATACAGGCCACTGTAGCCGCAGCTAATTTCCGTCTCGTAAGCGGTCTTCGCCTTTTGAAACGGTCGATGCCAATATCGGAGACACGGCCCATCCACACCGTGATGTTTCGTGGCGTAGAGGTTAGGGTATAGGTTTGGGGTTTTGAGCTATACTTTTGGACCCGGGTTCGAATCCGATCTTGTGCTTTTTTTTATGCACTCAAGGTGCAGAGAGACGACTTAAGAATTCAAGGGGCCGAAACCCTTACCTGTGGCGCACTGAAGGGGTTTGAAGGGACGACTGAACGGCCCGTGGTCCCAAAGTTGACCTGAATATCCAAAAGCCGTATCATTAACCGGCACACCATTCTTCAGTCAGGCATGTGTCTGGACTCTCTCTACGCACCTCATAATGCTTTATACTTTTTAGCCTTTTTAGCATCACTCTAGTACCATTTTCCTGAAATTTATAACGTTTAGGTTTAAACTTTTCTAGATAACGCTGATGACTGTACTTTTAAAACACAAAGTAATCTCACTTCATGACGAACAGAAAAGTTATGCTTTTCACAGATTTTTTTACACTTGTCTAGTATGACTCTATATATCTGCTACCATTTTGCTGAAAGATGAAAGAAATTTACTATGTTCGTGTTGAATGTTCTAGATAAGCCTTGCCCTGTACTTTAAAACACACTTTAAATCACTAATCCAGAAACGTCGATCTTTTTACAGATTTTTACCCGTTTTAGCATCACTTTAGTACCAATTTGCTGAAATTCATAATGTTTAGGTTTTAACTTTTGATGTTCTAGATAAGCTAGTTCTGTACTCTAAAACACAGTTCACTAATCCGATTTAATGACGAACAGAAAAGTCGTGCAAGTTCCGGCTTACCGAACCAGCAGGTTCTGTTTAGCTGAAGAGTTTCAAACCGGGAGGACGGAGGTTTCCTCTTCAGATCTGTCTGTGATCTGAGGATCCACTTAGGCTGTTCTAATCCAGTTTAGTGGTTCACATCATTGGGAAGTGTTAAATCTGACTACTGTTTAACTAATGCTTAGATTTCATCTCATTTTGGACCAAAACAGGTGTTTGTGTGTGTGTGTGTGCGTGTGCGTGTGTGTGTGTGTGTGTGTGTGTGTGTGTGTGTGTGTGTGTGTGTGTGTGTGTGTGTGTGTGTGTGTGTGTCTGTCTGTCTGTCTGTCTGTCTGTCTGTCTTTGTATTCTCGACAGCCATTCTATTTGTACATAGGGGTTCCCATACTCGCTCCTAAAATGTTTTACAGGGAGCGAGCTCCGGTGTGAAAATAGGACGGCACCCAGGCTAGGGAACGGTGCCTTGAGTCGAGTCACACCGTTCTAATTCCCCCTCCCCCACTCCTGGTGCAGTGACCCTGAGTGACCCGTGGTGACAGAAATGAATACCGACTTGTCAGGACATCAATCAAGTCACCAGCTGCACAGGGAACTACCTGAGAGGGCTGCATACTTCAAAAAAGTCTGAAATCTCAGACAGGGGTGCCAGAGTATACAGTGCAATTGTACGGAATACAGTGCAAGTTTACTAGTATACAGTGCAATTTTACGGAATACAGTGTAATCGTATTAGTATACAGTGCAATTTTACTAGTAAAATTGCACTGCATAGATTTTGTGGCCAGCAACCCAGAATCACTAAGAAGTGTAAGCAAATTCCAGTTCTTAATTCTTGTTTACTTATTATTACATGTCTCACAAACTAGACTCACTATTACAGCGTATGTTATAATATGATATGCGCAGTGCGTGTGGGCTGCTACACAAGCCTGGCTGACACCTGTGCCCTCAGAATACCGGCGGTAACTAGTCTGCCCAAGCCGCACGCTACTGGGAGAGACCCGCGCATGGAACTGACATCTTACAGTACCCTCGGAATACCTAGTCTCCACCAGACTCTTTTGCAGGCTGAATAAATAGTAGAAATCGGCCTAACCCGGGCACCAGTCCACATGCCGACGCTCTAACCACTCGGCTAAAAGGTCCAGACCCCTCGGCCGGGTCAGTTGGTAGCGCCTATAACCCCCCACTGTTACATCATTCTTTTTAGTCCGATTTAGGCCTGCAAAGGAGTCTGGTGTAGACTACAGAATACCGGGCTGCGAACCCGCGATATAACTAGCCCAAGCCGCACGCTACTGGGATGGGAGAAACCTGTGCATGGAACTACTCAAACGGTTCTGACATGAAAAATGAGGAAACAAGATCTAGACGATAAGGATAAGAGGGTTTTTTCTTTACCTCCTTCACTGAGTTTTCCTTTCATTCTCATTGACGTTATGATATCAATTAGTTTTTGTGTGCGTGTGTGTTTTGTGTTAGCTTAAAATGTGCCTGTGTGTGTGTGCGTGCGTGTGTGTGTGTGCGTGTGTGTGTGCGTGTGTGTGTGTGTGTGTGTGTGTTTGTGTGTGTGTGTGCGTGTGTGTGTTTGTGTTTGTCTAGTGTTAGTTTGTACGTGTGTGTGTGTGTGTGTGTGTGTGAGTGTGTGTGTTTGTGTTTGTCTAGTGTTAGTTTGTACGCACTGTGGTTTGTACGTGTGTGTGTGTGTGTGTGTGTGTGTGTGAGTGTGTGTGTTTGTGCTTGTCTAGTGTTAGTTTGTACGTGTGTGTGTGTTTGTCGATGTGTGAATGTACAAATGCGTATGCGTGTATGTTATAGACTGTGTGTGATAGTATATGTGCATATGTATAATTTATTTCTCTAATTATTTTCAGTGTTCTGTGTCTCAGCACACATCCTAACTGCTCTGGCCGGTCCTTGGCAGGAAGAACGGTTTTCTCAGCCTTCAGAGGTAAGACGGGCCGTTCGTCATGTCTTGTGTCCACGTCTCAAGAGGCAGAAAGGCTAATTCCCATCATCAATCACCTGTTTAAGTGGACAAGGTCAGCAGAGAAAGGAACACCGGGATTCAAAACCTCGAAACCACGGTCTAGAAAAGGGCTTGATAGCCACCTTTTCGGCCGAGTGGTTAGAGCGTCGGAGTCTGAAGCTGGTGCTCGGGAGGTCATGGGTTTGAACCCTGGCCCGGGACAAGTGGGTTTTTTATCTGTTTCTACTCGCTTCTCCTGTTTCTTACAGTGGTTCCCACGCCGGCCCTGTGAGTTCTGACAAAGAGTGCCTCTCCAGGGATGTCGAATTCGGAAGATTCTAGGACGAATCTTGAAAAGAAAAGGGGGAGTAGTGTAACAGTGGGGGTTTATAGGATCTTATAGGCGCTACCAACTGACCCGGCCGATGGGTTTAGACCTTTTCGGCCGAGTGGTTAGAGCGTCGGAGCTTTTATCTTTTTCTACTGCTCGCCCCTGTTTCTTACAACTTGACAAACGCACACACACACATGATGTTCTTACAAGAACTACTAATATATATTAAGATGTACACAAAGACATGGAATTATACTCGACTTCGTGGCACTCACCGGCGCAACCGAATTTGTTGCATGCTCTACTTTCTCTGTCGACCCCTTCACAGCCTTCGACGACGGACTTGTCACAGGTTCTGGACCTCGTTTGTATCCCTCCACCGCAGGACTGAGAGCAAGGCTGCCAGTCCGACCATAGGCTCCAACCTGTGTATAGAAATAGCGTAAACATATGAAATACACAACAATTATTTCACCAAATAAATCTATGTAGTATTCACAGAAGTTAGGGAGGCAGTTGCAATTTGATACAAAACAGGAGTAGTTCTGGAAGAAAAAGTATAAAGGGTAAAGGTATACGTAGTCCCGTACTTTGCCGTAGTCTTTTTGAGTAGGGGCAGTGGGTTGTTAATGTACTGTGTCTAGGACACGGTATTGCTAGATAGACCCATCCCTTTCCTTCAGTCAGGTGCTCATTTTACACCTGGGTGGAGTGAGGAAATTCGTGTAAAGTGTCTTTCCCAAGGACACAGGAATGCCAGGAGTTGAACCCGCGACTTCTCGACCTCCTGTCCGCTCGCCTAACCAGTTCGGAAAACGTAATTATTTAGTCCTTTCAAACATCTGCTTGTAGACTCGCCTCCCAACGTCTGCTTGTACTTGTAGACAAGCCCAAAGCCCTCCAGCTTGTTGACACACGGCCCGCCAGTGGAGAGGGTGCGGCGGACAGTAAACACGCCCTGCCGAGCCCAGGAGGAGATTTTCGGCGCCTTGGCTTCGTCTCCGCCACTTCGCGCACAATCGCGACGGTTTCTTCCTCTCTCGCAGACGATAAGAAGGACAATGGAGTCTACAGAACTCAACTGACATCCGAGAAATCACGACACTAGTCGCTAAACTACTCCCCAACTAATAACGCGAGTTCAAAAGCATTAAAATGTATCCAAATAGGGGTTTTTAGTTATTTTTGACTTGTTTCTCGTAGACGATAAGAAGGACAATGGAGTCTACAGAACTCAACTGACATCCGAGAAATCACGTCACCAATCGCTAAACTACTCTCCAAGTAGAGGTTAGCCTCCGTAGCAGGCTTATAGAACTGGGGGTTTGGTGGTCTTCGGCTGTTTTCTGATCAGCCCAGTTCTAAAAGGGGGTAGTTCAACCAGGCTGGCTATGTTGTCTATATGCAATCAGAAAATAGCACATAAAAGCTCCCAAAGACCCTGAAGACCCCCAAAACCACGTTTTTGGCATGCTATGGAGGCTAGTGCTTCCTAGTGTTGCGGATTCCGTCTAATCAGGTCCATCTAACACGGAAGACCCGAGGAAAGACTTGCGACATCCTCCCCGTGTTGACACACGCGATAAGCCATCGCTTCTGTGTGTTTGTCTACATCATTACAAAACACATCCAGGGCTAGCCTGCTTCCCCGACTATTGCCAGGGACAGTATACAGGCTAGCTCCTCGGCTCAAGGCTAGCCTGGGTGCCAGACTGTTCAGCGTAGTTAGTCTGGTAGAGACTAGAAAAAACGCGGGACATCCCCCGTGTTGACACACGCGATAAGCCGTCGCTTCTGTGTGTTTGTCTACATGATTACAAAACAAATCCTCAGGGTGGTCGCGACTTCTCAAGTGGCGGGACTCTAGCCTCTACCAGGCTTCGGAGGGCGGCAAAAAGGACATAAACACCCCTGGCATGTTATCTCTCTATTTGGCCGATTTCTACTCTTTCCAGCCGCCTCCTGAAGCCTGGTAGAGGCTAGCGGGACTCCTGTGGTTTTCATAAGAGACTTGAACAGGAAACTGTACGTTTGGAATGAACGAATCGACGAATGAATGAATGAATGAATGCTCTTATAAGCTAAGTATGGGCCATGAATGATGATAAAGCCATTCTACATACAGTGTAGTATCTTACTATAGCTATAATGGATAACGTGTACTAGTATGCACAGGTTCAACTTCAAATTTTTCTCGCTTATTAAGACAGCTGTTAGTGTAAGGACAGGTGGATCGTGTAATACATGGTTTAACTAGTTCCACAAGGAATGTGGACTTTTCTTTGATTTCATAATAATAGGCTTCTCAACATCCAGCTGGGTTTCTTCTACACATTCCGTGCTGGCTAAACTTTCTCAGCTGTCCTCGGTTTATTTCTTGATTTCTACTTGCCCTATGATTAATATGGCATGTTCTACTTTGCTGTTGTATTGTATTTTGTCGTTAGCCTCTACCAGGCTTCGGGAGGCGGCTAGAAAGAGTAGAAATTGGTCAAATAGAGAGATAACATGCCAGGGGAGTTGGTCCGCTAGAGAGTACATTTTGCCACACCCAAACTGCCCGGCTAACTACCCTTTATTTTGGCCAATCTCTGCTATATTCCAGCGATCCGCGGTGCCTGGTAGAGACTAAGCCTTAGCCTCCGTAGCAGGCTTATAGAACTGGGAGTTTGGTGGTCTTCGGCTGTTTTCTGATTAGCCCAGTTCCAAAAAACGGGGGTAATTCAACCAGACCGGCTATGTTGTCTATATGCAATCAGCAAATAGCACATAAAAGCTCCCAAAGACCATGATGACCCCCCAAACCCCCAGTTTTTGGCGTGCTATGGAGGCTAGTAAAGACTAAGCCTAGTGTACACGAAGACTTAAGTACCAACAAAAGTGGCTGTCACTAATTAAATCCCGTTCACAGCGGGTCATTATTCTTCGATAATCACCTCCATTATTGCACTGTTGGCGCACACGCGACAAACCGCTCAGTAAACTTTACTGTTGGGCGGGAAGACAAACATTAGATAGGGGCACCCCTACTGGGCAGCCGACGCTAACTTCCGTCTCGTAAACGGTCGTTGCCACCGAAAGGGATCTGCTTGGAGATCGCTGGATACGCGTGGACTACGATCTGTTCCCACATTTCCCATTGTACAAAAAAGCGAGAAGAAGTTGACCTCTCTATATTAGCTCAGTGACTAGAACACTTTGTATTAGCCTAGTATAGTATCCTTGTATGTTCCTTATGTATGTATGTCTAAGTCAAGTAGTGCATCTTTTGTCTACACTTTTCTACATACGATTGTTATGTGTCTGTTAAGTCTTGACCTGTACCTAACCCGTGGCATGAATGTACAATAAAGGTATTTCATTTTATACCAAGAATTCTAATGAATCGTATGTACATCGTAAATTTTGTATGAATTCCGTAACGGTTCTGGATAAAGCACAGTCTTAGATACAACAGTGACTCACCTAAAGCAAGGAGGATCTCTTCTTCGTTTCCCCGGGTGGGGTCTGCGGTGGCCCCGAAGATGTCGTCGTATCTCGCCGCCAGTTCTCCCTCGCGGAAAATCCCCAGGAAGAAGATGTAGGAGTCTCCCTGCACTACTTCTGAGTAGCACTCCGCTCTGCGGCCGAAGTTCGACACGTTATACACCTGTAACGGTTATGAAATAAAGACTAAGCTTTAACTTCCAACACTTAGATTACAGAATTGGGACTTACCCAAATTTTACCAACACAGATGAACTTTCATGCTAACCTGTAACGGTTATTCATCTGTGTACATCAAATCAAATCGATCAATCAATGGTTTATGGTAGCGACTCAAAACAACCATACAGTGGTAGCTTTTTAGCTGAATTATAGTATGGCATTACAAAAGAGAGAATATTTACATTTAATTAATACTATTAATACATAATCAATACAACTTAAAATGCCTTACGTTAGGCCTACACATATACACATATCCAAACCATTTCGTTAATTTGTTAAAACATATAAATACAACAATCTAGCAGGTAACTTGCTAGACCATTGGTAACTATCTGTATAACTACTTAGTGCTATACTCCCTAGCCTGTGTGCCAAACCCATAGCACACTGGACACAAAGTATCTCATGCTCACTGAGATACTTAGTGTGCAGTGTACTATATATATATATAGGTTTGGCACCCAGGCTATATACTCCCTGTAAACTATTATTCATGTACTTGTAGTAGAGTTAACATACGGATTAATAAACACGGCTCAGGAGAGGTAATCGAACTGTTTGGTCCTTAGTTCTAGACCGGACAAATTCTCCTGGGCTCAACTCCGCCTAATTTAGATAGGCGGGCGAAGGGCTCTTGGCTGCCGAAGGAAAACGGCTAACGGCTCGTAACTAGCTTGGCACCCAGGGTAACGCTATATAGACGTTAAGATACCAAATTACCACAAAAACTCATATATTACACACCTTCGGTTCGTCGGAAATGGCGGGAATTTCCTGCAGACGATCTTTTCCCTTCAGCACCGAGCGGACGCGAAGCTGGGCCGAGTAGGTCAGACCGGGTCGTCGTCGTGGCGGGTCGTCGGACGTTCGCACGACGGTTCCCGACAACACCACGTCGGCTCGTCGGGCCCGCACGGCGACCGGCACCGGGTCCCAACCGTTCAAAAGCTCGATGCAGCCGCTGGCTATGTGTAGGATCGCGAAGAGGATAAAAACAACACACCGAGGAAGGAAAAAACGCTGCATGGTGGGTAACCAGACCGCCGTGAGCTCAGCGCTATCCCTTCGGCGCCGAGAGCGTTTCGGGCCGCCAACCAGGCCTCAGTTTCTTCGCTCAGGGGAAACCAGCTGGAGATAGGTCCGTGGTATACTAGTACCTGTAACTCGCCTTTGGTAACCAGGTAGCCTGGTAAGCAGATCGCCGTGAGCTCAGCGCTATCCCTTCGGCGCCGAGAGCGTTTGGGGCCGCCAACCAGGCCTCAATTACCGCGCTTCGGGTTTTTTTAAGTTCCTTCGCTCACTGTAGTCTCCACCTAGCCTGGTAACCAGACCGCCGTGAGCTCAGTGTTATCCCTTCGGCGCCGAGAGCGTTTGGGGCCGCCTACCCTCAGGCCTCAGTTTCTTCGCTCAGGGGAAACCAGCTGGAGATAGGTCCGTGGTATACTAGTAACTCGCCTTTGCTAGTAATAGGGCCGGACAAACCCCTCGGGCACAACTCCCCCGTAGCGGTAATTTAGATAGGCGGGCGAAGGGCTCTTGGCTGCCGAAGGAAAACGGCTAACGGCCCGATACTAGTTGGCGTCCAGGGTAGCCTGTATACTGTCCCTGGCTGGCAACAGTCGGGAACCCAGGCTAGATCGAGTGCCCAACACAAAAACTTGGACCGACTGAAATACTGTACTCCAAACCCTGCGTAGAGAACGGTGACCAGGTTAGGGGGAGGGGGGTTGTCAGTGGAATGTTTTGACACGAAGAATCAGCTCCTCGGCGCTGGCTGCGAGCTTCAAGTGTTGCGCCCCGGGACCACGTGACCTCTTACCACCTCCAGGGCGGATTACGTAGCCTCTACCAGGCTTCTCAGGGCTCGGGTTGCTTAGCCTGGATGCCAGACAATCCTCAGGGTCAGTACATATGCCAGCCCCTCACTAACCCCTAAGACCCTGACCAACTAGGTCTAACTAGCCCTGGAGCCGAGGAGCTGGCCTGTATGTTGGTCCTGGGTCTGGCAATAGACTGGCACCCAGGCTAGACCTGGAGCCGCAGGCTATCCCTGGAGCCGCAGGCTAGCCCTGGAGCCGCAGGCTAGCCCTGGAGCCGAGGAGCTAGCCTGTATATAGGCCCTGGCAACAGTCTGGCACCCAGGCTACCTAGGCTTCATTCATTCATTCATTCATTCATTCATTCATTCATTCATTCATTCATTCATTCATTCATTCATTCATTCATCCTTTTCCAACAACCCACCGAGTCTGACAGAAACTAGCCGGAAATTACAACTTGAACGTGTGCATCATACACTTCTACTCAAGATGTGAGTTAGTGCCGCCACCTAGCGGACTAGGTCTACAATGCAACAAGCTACTTATGCTTTGCATTCTGAGGCAATGAGGCTTGTATTTTACACTAATTTGGGCTAGAATGAATGTTCTAACTGCGGGAATGTGGAATTGGGTGCATTATTTAACAAATTATTAAACCTTAGAGTAACCAAACATGCCTTTACATATGCCTTTACATATTACAATTTTATTCGGTTCAACAAATATGTCTTGCACTATATGCCATCAGATAAAATTGAAGGAACAGTTTTTTTTTTCCCAGTAAGGAACAGTTAGTGATAGAATGATGTTCCTTCTTTAAAAAATGCTTTCTAACATTATCGTATCTTAACATTATGACTGCTTTTTGAGGTTCAAAATGTTAGTTATGCAAAACAACTGTCAGAGGTACTGAATTGCACTGTTACAACAAATATGTTAAACACTAAAATTTCTAACCGCAAAATCGTTAACACCAAAATAAAAAATATGTCTTTCACAATATGTCAGTAATACAAAATTGTGGGAGAAATAAGTGGTACAACCATGTCACTTAAACGTTTCTACTGGACACTGTCGTTTCAACATGTTCCTGAAAATATTATTGTCACCGATTCATTGAGCTTAAAAATGGTACAGTTTTGTAGTGTCTATTATCTGAATTACAATTAATATATAAATCGCTAAAACCGCAAATCACTAGCAACACTCACAGCATGTGAAATACAAACCTATAACACGATTCTACATATAAAAAGAAGTTTTTTGAGCAAATGTAATTCTTTCAGGTTTCACATGGGTAAATCATTGGTCACATATATTATTACTAAAATACATCATGTATTTGAAACGTACAGTTTACTCCTCAATATAATATTACAAAAATCACAAATAGCAAGCATAGGTTCATAGTACACTAGAGTTCCACGATCTCATGCCTTCGACAAATGATGTTAACCTTTACGACTGACAAATTATGAATGTTTCACATTGATTATCGAAATAATATCCTCACTTGCAATTATATCCTTTGATCATATTTTCCATCCAATGACAGTCTTATAATCTTAAACAAAGAGGGCTATTCTAGCATTTCCTCATAAATCATGCAAATAAGGTTCAGATTTGAATAAATTATGTTTAATACTGATCACCTTCACTTAACTTCCAAATGCAGCCAGTATGAAAATCCTGTCAGTAACCACTATTTCATTGTACTATTTATAGCATTTTTCTCATTATTTATGCAAATTAGGCCTTATTGACACCAAAAATTTGTGTCCCCAGCCTGTTTACATCATGAGCTATCAAAACTGCTTGACTGCATACCCCAGTTGATGTAGAGCTCAACGATTTGACCCACTTCCACATCTGTGTTTACACAAGGGCAGGAGAGTTACCAGCGAAAGGTCATGTCGGGTGCAAAACAAATGGAGTGTTCATAACAGAAATCAAATTCACGTAGCATTTTGTAGGCCGTTCTTGTCGATTGACTGTTATTGACACCAAATATTTGTGACCCCAGCCTGTTTACATCATGGGCTATCAAAACTGCTTGCCTGCCCCAGCCCCAGATAATGTAGAGCTCAAGGATGTGACCCACTTCCACATCTGTGTTTACACAAGGGCCAGAGAGGAACAACACCACTTGCATGTGGAGCTGACTGAGGGTTTATTTACAGTAGCTGGTGACCTGGGCAACAAAGAGGGCCTTTGTTTGTTCAAGGATTACAGGCATGACACTGATGAGTTTGCAATAGGGCATCATCCACATGAGACCAACTTCTGGGGGAGTCCTTTTGAACAGTTATATCCAAAAAGGCAGATTAAGCGCCACTTTCGCCAATTCCACAAGGATTCTGTTGTCCTAACAAAGAGGAAATTTTTTTCCAGCTATCCTTGTGGGCATAAATCAATGTAATCCGTAGAAGGTGGGAACCAAAAAGGTCTACTGCACTATGGATGACATATAGATTTCTCTATTAATTAATCAAATTAAGTCATAATTTACATAATGAAAATCTCTTCCTCTTGATTACATATGCCACCATTTTAATTGTTTTATCACAGAACCCAGCAAATATATAGACTTCTGTCATTAATTATGTAAATTAGATCGTAATTTGCAAAATATTCAGCAAATTAGGTCAAGCATCACTTAAGCTACCGAGATACCAAAAATAACAACAATCCGTCAACCGGTTCTTGAGCTATCCTACTTCAAACATTTTCAAACAAATGCCACTGCATTTCCCAAACAAGCTGCTACGGGGCCCAAACTTACGGCACTTCTTTCTGAGCACGAGAACTACCTACCATCTAAAAATCATGACCATAGCACGTCCATATCACGAGATTTAAAAACCAGAAGTTTCGCTGCAGTACTTTCTAATTCAATGACGTGGGGACCCCCCACGAAGCCCATATCCGAACTTGACCTTGGTATTGTCAATGGTAACTTGCCAACTAAAAAACATGAACATCCATTTAAAGATTCTCGAGTTATCTTGATGACAAGAAAAAACACAAAAAACAAAGGTCAACTGCAGTGACATAGAAACCCCCACGGGGCCCATCTTCGAACTTGACCTCGGCATTCTCAACGGTAACTTGCCCACTAAAAATAATGAACATACATTTAAGGATTCTCGAGATATCTTGATGACAAGGAAAAACACCAAAACCAAGGTCAACTACAGTGACTTAGGAACCCCCCACGAAGCCCATTTTTAGCCTTGACAATGGCCACCCCCAAATCAACCTGCCTGCCAAAAATCGTGAACCTCGGACCTTGCCTTCAAGAGTTATCGTGCCTAATCTGCCAAACAGTGCAAACCCGATTTCATAACCTTCTCCGAAGGCATAGCCTTCAGTCGAAGGCAAATACATTATAGATTTCCTCATGTCCTACATATGCCATAAGACTGAAAAAAGTGTCCTGTCTGATCATGACAACTAGTTATACTGATGGGCGCTTTTCATGTGTTTTTACAATACCTTCATACATAGGGTTGGGCAGTAAGGCAGCTAGCAATGCATCAGTTGATACTAGTGGTAGGTTTCTAATATCAAAGGGTTGCATGGTGTCTTTAGACTGATCATGACCACTGGCTACTACAGTAGCTGTGGTGTTTGTGTTGGATTCAGTGATGGTCTGAGACTGACCCTGCCCTGCCTGATCACCACCACTGGTCATTACAGTAGCTGTGGTGTTTGTGTTGGATTCGGTGATGGCCTGAGACTGACCCTGCCCTGTCTGATCATCGTGTGTTTTTACAACACCTTCATACATAGGGTTTGGCAGTAAGGCAGCTAGCAATGCATCAGTTGATACTAGTGGTAGGTTTTTAATATTAAAGGATTGCATGGTGTCTTTAGACTGATCATGACCACTGGCTACTACAGTAGCTGTGGTGTTTGTGTTGGATTCAGTGATGGTCTGAGACTGACCCTGCCCTGTCTGATCATGACCACTGGTCATTACAGTAGTGGTTTTGTACAGAGAATTAAGCTGAGAGACTATCGGCCCTGTGCCATAAGATAGATTTCTAGCATCCAAGGTTTCGGTGTTGGTCTGAGACTGACCCTGCCCTGTCTGATCATGACCACTGGCCACTACAGTAGCTGTGGTGTTTGTGTTGGATTCAGTGATGGTCTGAGACTGACCCTGCCTTGTCTGATCATCACCACTGGCCACTGCAGTAGCTGTGGTGTTTGTGTTGGATTCAGTGATGGTCTGAGACTGACCCTGCCCTGTCTGATTATGTAGATTCATATATTCATGCGTGTGATCATGACCACTAGTTGCTACAACAGCTGTGTTGTTTGTGTTGGATTCAGTGATGGCCTGAGACTGACCCTGCCCTGTCTGATCATGACCACTGGCCACTACAGTAGCTGTGGTGTTTGTGTTGGATTCAGTGATGGTCTGAGACTGACCCTGCCCTGTTTGATTATGTAGATTCATATATTCATGCTTGTGATCATGACCACTAGTTGCTACAACAGCTGTGGCGTTTGTGTTGGATTTAGTGATGGCCTGAGACTGGCCCTGCCTTGTCGTAACATGATGGTTCATATCTTCATACCTGTGATCATGACCACTGGCCACTACAGTAGCTGTGGTGTTTGTGTTGGATTTAGCGATGGTCTGAGACTGACCCTGCCCTGTCTGATTATGTTGGTCTACATCTTCATACTGGTGATCAAGACCACTAGTTACTACAACAGCTGTAGTGTTTGTGGTGTGCAAAGCAGGGTTGGAGTTCGAACCTGAATCGGAATTCCCAAACCTCCTTTTACACCAGAGTGTCAAAATGACACCACCAGCAAAAGAAATCATTGCACCAATAACTGTCGGAGTGTACACAGGACCTGGGGGCAAACTGGGACCATTTTGAAGGGAAGTACCAGTGACGGCAAGAGTTGAGGTCGCTGGCCCTTTCCATTTAGTGTCAACTGTAGAGTCAACATCGCGTTTGAAGTACCAGTGATAGTGAGAGGTGGTGGTGCCATTGTAACAGTTGTTAGTAAATGTTGAGCCTAAAGGGTCTTTACAGATCAGATCTTCGGGACTGATATCTTTTAGTTTTAGTCCTGCGAGGTTGGCAGGTTGGGCACATGTTATCTGGTCTAGAACTGCAGGAGTTTCATTCAGTTTTTGCCAAAAGGGAGCCATCTTACAGTCACACTGCCAGGGGTTGTGGCGAATCTGTAAGTTAGGAATAGATGCCATCATGTCATTGAAGTCTGGGGGAAGGGCAGATAGCTGGTTTGACTGCAGATGCAAAATTTGGAGCCGCGGTAGATTTGAAAACGTACCAGCCTGGATGTTCCTTAGCTTGTTTGAGTTCAGGAACAAAAATTCGAGGCAAGGTAGATTTGAGAATGTGCCAGCCTGAATGCTGGATATTTGGTTGGAGTCAAGATACAACGTATAGAGCTGGGTTAAATTTGAGAATATGTCAACTTGAATGCTTGATATTTGGTTGGAGGAAAGGTTCAAAAAGATGAGCTGGTGTTCGTTTGAGAATGTGCAAGCCTGGATGCTGCTTATACGGTTATCGTTCAAGGCCAACCTCTTTAGCTTTGTTAAACCTGTGAATGCTTTAGCCGGAACGTTGGTAATGTTGTTGAAGCCAAGGCACAAAGTTTTGAGGTTGGGTAGATGTAGGAATGCACCTGGCTCAATTCTAGATATCTGGTTACGTTCTAAAGTTATGAATTGGGTGGATGGTGGGATGTCTTGAGGGATCTTGGTGAGGCTTTGGCCATCACACAAGCAATATGGATCTGCACAGCGGCCTGCACAGCCACCTTCTGGCGTGTTGGGCTCCTTCAGGACGAGGAGAAGGAAAATCAGGAGGTGTCGCAGCTTCCTTCCCATGTCGTCCTGGAATCTGTACAGAACACGTCACAAGAATTCAATATTAAACAAGATTGGCAATGAAAACATACATTGCCATGGCGACGGTGGTTGCTGGTAGGGTTATTGTTTGCATGGCACTGCCGTCATTTCATGATTTTGAGGAAGACTTGGTACCGGTTAAGTCTAGACAGATACAGTGCACTCCTCATCTGAGTATATAGTGAACGAGCCCCGGGGTCACAGAAAGTAGGACCATCCGGGGCAGACAGGTCTTCCCAGGGGGTTCCAGGAATGTGGGCATAGATTTGGGTCAGAGAAATGCCTGTGGACATTCCATGCCTGTGGAAAAATGTCTGTGCCATTCCTAGAATTCTTGCAAACTGCACACAATACTGTGCCATTAGGCTCCTCCCTGAGACGTCGCCAAAAAGGGGCGATCAGTGATAGCATAGGTCACACCCTTTACCTAGCCTCCTTCGCAGACTTGTTGTAACCTGGTTACCAAACCTATTATATAGCTCCCGAGCTATAATAGGTTTGGTAACCAGGCTAGACTTGTTGGGCTTCGGCGTTATTTTTTTCTGTGAGCGACGGGAGTAACATGCCGCGGAGGGACGCTTTTGCTGCCGAGGGAGTTTTTTGCCGTGGAGAGAAGGAGCGCGAAATCTCCACGCTTACTTTAATGCAAATGCCTAAATAAATAAGATTTAAAAGGCCTCATACACCTCATGTTTCGTATAAGCGCTTTATAAACGAGCAGTTCCCGAGCAGTTAATTGTCTGGTTCGGGCTGTTTGAATATTCACATTTTAATAGCAGGTTGAATATTCACATTTAGCAGGTTGAATATTCATATTTAGCAAGTTGAATATTCACATTTAGCAGGTTGAATATTCACATTTAGCAGGTTGAATATTTACATTTAGCAGGTTGAATATTCACATTTAGCAGGTTGAATATTCACATTTAGCAGGTTGACTAGTATTCACATTTAGCAGGTTGAATATTCACATTTAGCAGGTTGAATATTTACATTTAGCAGGTTGAATATTCACATTTAGCAGGTTGAATATTCACATTTAGCAGGTTGACTAGTATTCATATTTAGCAGGTTGAATATTCATATTTAGCAAGTTGAATATTCACATTTAGCAGGTTGAATATTCACATTTAGCAGGTTGAATATTTACATTTAGCAGGTTGAATATTCACATTTAGCAGGTTGAATATTTACATTTAGCAGGTTGAATATTCACATTTAGCAGGTTGAATAGTCACATTTAGCAGGTTGAATATTCACATTTAGCAGGTTGAATATTCACATTTAGCAGGTTGACTAGTATTCATATTTAGCAGGTTGAATATTCATATTTAGCAGGTCTCTGATCTGGTGCCTTTTGCTGACGTGTCATTGTTTTGCCACTTTAAAACATGTTTTGCTACATTTGTACCCAGAGCCATCCTCATGTTTGAGGTTCTGAAACCCCCCAGTGACAGTCTCTTCCACTATATCTAAACACAAGAAAAACTAATTTTGGCATGAGATCGAATGTCTTATGTGAGCTTTTCTGTATACTATTCCAGCCTATCTTCTCCCATATATCATGCCCGTAGCCAGGATTTTATAGGGGGTGGGGGTGGGGGGTTCTTCCCACTGCTTGAGAGACCATCGGGCGCCGTGGGCGCGAGGTTCCTAGGGGGGTACGGGGGCATGCTCCCCCTGAAAATGTTGAAAAATGGACCCTCTGAAATGGCATTTCCTGCGTTCTTGAGAGCATTTCAAAGAAAAAAAAAAGAGATAACTTTTTATTCAATGACAAAGTGATCAGTTTTTCTACGATTCCAGCCACGCCGGTGACACGAATCAGTCCATCTTTTCAAGAAAACTGGACCTGTAGACAAAAAGTGGAACAAAAAGTGGACCTTTGAGCCTTGTGGTGGGTTCGTCCCAACCCCCAGCTACGGGCATGTATTTGTATAGAAAATACGAGGACTTACCTGAGCGTTTATTGAAAACTTACCTTACAAGCCAGTCAGACTATCTTCAGTATCCTCAGTCTCCATGCTAAAGCTGTGCCTCTCAGATGTGAGCTCTGGGTAGCTGAGTCCAACAACCAAGCTTGGAGAAGTCCTTCGTAATCTGGGTGTGTTGATTGTCTGAGGCAAGCAGTTTGCATATTAACATTAATGATATTTAAATAATAATGCCTGTTTGTCCCTCGAAATCACCTTGAAAATTCCCTGGGTGCAGTACTGTTGTCAGCTGCTATGGGGCACTTTTACTTCATGTTGATAATGTTGAAGTGACTTTCTATCATCATAACAGTCTTGTTTATATTCTTCAAGTTGGTGGTAGAGATGCATATAGACATTGATAACTCTAATAAGCTTTGTAAGTGTCTAGAATAACGTATTAGATTTGCTGCTAGTCTATTTTAGTACACCCAACCAGACTGGACTTAATTATTGCAAGGAATCGACAACGTATAACAGTGTAATGTATTAGTAACATTACGTTTAACATATGTGCTTCTTTAAATGTTGAACAACGACCACTGTCGCCTTCATCAGGATAATTAATGACCAATCAATTCTGAACGTAAACTCATGGGAGTTAAGGTTTCAGATACATGACCTTATCCATACGAAACTACGAATACATGAAGTCATCAATTGATCAAACGTGCCAGCGGGCATCCACTGGGTAGATAATTCTATAAGCTTGGTAAATATCTAGGATAGCTTATTAGATTTGCTGCTTAACTATTTTAGTACACCAAGTCAGACACGATTGTAAGGAATTGGCAGAGTATAAAAGTGTAATGTACTAATAACATAGATCAAACTTTCAACGACCGCCGTCGGCTTCATCAGGATAATTAATGACCAATCACTTCCGAACGTAAACTCACGAGAGACAGATGCTACAGAGACTTGATGCTGTAGACAGATAGCCGGTATAACCGCCTTTCGACGAACACACCAGCTTCGCAGGCACGCGGTGCGGCGGCAGCTGGCTACATTTCACCGATCGACTTGTTACACCTAGCCGTTGAACATCTAACTCTAGACATTTGTTTAAAGCTATCTCATCTCATGTCTATTTGGTGCAGACGACGCAGGTGAGTTCCCTGCCCTCCACGTAGGGAGGGCACGGCAGCGAGCCGCAGCGGGCCTCCACGGGGTAGAACAGCGCGCCGTTTTCGTCTCCCTCCCCGCCCGGCAGCGCCTCGGCCTCCGCGTCCATGCACACGAACTCCGTCCGGCTGCTGTGCCCGTGATAACCCGCCATCAGGTACCCTAGCGGGGAACGGCGGTATTGCAGTGGGCAGTAGATCTACACATTTGCAAGCCATATACACAACGTTTACCAGCACATACTCTAGCCAGAAGCTACTGTCCTATTAACTCTTACTCAAACACACAGGACAAAGTTAGAGGGGCTGGTTACTCTCTCTCTCTATATATATATATATATGGTAGCCAGCCCCTCCAACTCTGTCCTGACACTTGCTACATAATGTAACCCAACACCACAGGGTGTCTGCTACAACATCATGGTGACTAACGTCTGGTTCAGGTCATTGACCTTACGGAGGAAGAAGAAGAAGAACTTAAAGAAGAAACAGAGCAAAAGAAAAAAAAGTTTCCCTAACATAAAGATCACCTCGGTACTCCTGAGTCCACCCCTCTGGGCAGGACTGCCGAGCGGGGATCATGAGATGCGCGCGGCGGGAGAGGCTGTAGCAGGCGGCGCAAGGGACCTCCCGGTGCTGCAGGCTGGCCGCGTCGTACGGAGCGTTCGTGTTCAGGTCGTACTCAGCACCGTACATGTACGACTTCCAGCCCTGTATGGAAGGAATGGATCATGAATAAAGCGAGACATGTATGTGAGGAGTCTTGCGGAGACAGTGCTGATCATTGCCATCAAGGTTGAATTATGTATTCAAGGTTGGTGATATTAGAGTATGCTATTTCATTTACGTAATGTCAGTTTGTTTAAAGTACCTGGGGAACTTGGCAGTTGAAGTTATGGGAGCAAATGCATAATGTTTGCCTTCAAAACAAACTACTGTCTCTTTAGTCTTATTATCTATGGCGATCATCCCCTTAACTTCGTCCTTCCTTTTGCTACATAATGCAATACAATACACCATAGGGTGTCCAGCTCAGCACCAGTTACTATGGCGACAGTCAATTGGTGCAGGTCATTGACCTTGAAGAAGAATAAAACAAAATACCTGCACCCCATCCTCGTACCGCCCCCACTCGGGCTCGGTCGGCAGGCACTGGTAGTTGCCACAGCGCGTCTGCTACAGCACCAGTTACCATGGCGACAGGCAACTGGTGCAGGCCATTGACCTTGAAGGTATTTGACCTTGAAGAGGAATAAAACAAAATACCTGCACTCCATCCTCGTACCGTCCCCACTCGGGTTCGGTCGGCAGACACTGATAGTTGCTCCCTCCGCCCGCTTCGTTGTACATCGGCCCGCCGGCACGTCCGGAGTACACCGTCTCCGTGCCCACACCCTCGTCACACGACGTCCGGCCCCATCGGATGTACACAGCTCCTCCACCGAACCCCTCAGCGCCTGGAGTAGTAAAGTAGTAGTAGAGTAGTAGTAGTAGTAGTAGTAGTGGTGGTGGTAGTAGTTGTAGTAGTAGTGGTAGTAGTAGTAGTAGTAGTAATAGTAGTAGTGGTGGTGGTGGTAGTAGTAGGAGGAGGAGGAGGAGTGGTGGTGGTAGTAGTAGTAGTAGTAGTACAGTAGCAGTAGTAGTAGTTACAGCACTACTACTAATAGTAGTAGTAATAGTAGTAGTAGTAGTAGCAGTAGTAGTAGCAGTAGTAGTAGGAGTAGTAGAAGAAGTGGTAGTGGTAGTAGTAGTAGTAGTAGTAGTAGTAGTAGCAGCAGTAGTAGTAGTAGAGTAGTACTAGTAGTAGTAGAAGAAGAAGTAGTAGTGGTAGTAGTAGGAGTAGGAGTAGTAGTAGGAGTAGTAGTAGTAGTAGTAGTAGGGGTAGTAGTAGTAGTGGTAGTAGTAGTAGTAGTAGTAGTAGTAGAGTAGTAAAAGTAGTACAGAAAGGGTGTTAGTAGTAGTATAGTACATGTACAAGAAGTAGTCGTGGTAGTAGTAATCGTATGATAGTAGACGTAGTAGTAGTAGCAGCACGGTAGTAATAGTTATTGTACCAAGTATAGAAGTAGTGTACTATTAGAATGATTTAGGAAGACATTTCCCCAGCATACTCTCAATCCAGGACATACTCCTGAATTACAACAATGATAGTCATCACTCAGGCTGAATTGACAACATGTAACATCAACATACCAGTGAGTAAAACCTTTAAGTCCAGATGAGGTAATGGAATTTTGAATAGTTAAGAATATGTTAGAGTCGACAACAGATTAATAAAAGGGACTGAGAGCAATGTAAAATCCAGGGTGTGTCCTGGATCTTAGAAAATCACCTTGTTCCCCCTTCTGTCCCGGTGCTCCTTTCTCCCCCTTCGCCCCCTCCTGTCCCTCTGGTCCCAGCTTCCCGGGCAGTCCCGTCTCCCCCTTCTCCCCGCGTACGCCTCTCGGTCCGGACGGGCCCGTGTCCCCCTTAGCTCCCGCCGGTCCAGTCGGGGCCACCACGGTGATATTGTTCACGTTACTGTTCGACATCTGCTTTGGGCACGAGTCTTCCTCGCCCTCTGTGTCCACAGCCGTGCCGAGAGACACGCAGAGGAACAGAAACAGCACAGAAAGTGCGGCCATGACTCCCGTGGGTTGAAGATTCGTACAGCAAGTTTAGAGCAAAAATATAGCTGCGCGCAGCTAGTAAGAATGTAGTCGAGAATGGTGCGTAGGACCATCTGGACTTTGCAGCATGTCAGAGTCTTGTAAACTTCAAGATTTGCATCAAAAGGTGCCATGTAGAAGTGGCGTATTTATAGTTGAAACCGCTTACACCAGTAGGGCACTGACGTGAACATTTGTTTAGTCATTTGACAGGTTGTTGGCCTGAGTGCCACACTGTTGCAAGGGACAGTATACAGGCTAGCTGGGTAGCCCTATCCTCTACCAGGCTTCGGGAGGCGGCTGGAAAGAGTAGAAATCGGCCAAATAGAGAGATAGCATGCAAGGGGGGTTGGCCTGCAGGAGCGGCAAACTGTTCTCTCCAGCAGACCAACTCCCCTGGCATCTCTCTGTTTGTTTAGCCATTATGACAGGTTGTTGGCACACAAAGCTGACACAGCTTAAGGCTTTGACAAACTAAGGTTGAACCCACCAAGTGGATATGTAACATCTTTTGGTGTTTGTTCTAACGCATCTGGTATTTATACGGGATGTAAACTTGGCAAGCAAACTTGGCAAGTTGTTACTACTGTATCGTTATTTAGTCAGTAAAATATAGGACGTGTCTAATACATCTCGACGGGGCTTGACCTATATCTTCAGGAGCCTTTTTTATCGCTTATCATATACAACAGCAACGTATATTGAAGATGTCACCAAATCAAAGAAGTGTACATTAAAACCATGCGTCATGCCTCGATCGAATATTTCTTTGTTCATGAGCATCCTTCTTCAAGATATGAATGTCTGTTGGTACATGTATCTCAAAACACACCGTTTGCCCTCATATATACATCATGGTTCAGTGCTTTAATTTGCCTTCAGGGAAAAAACGGGGGTTGCTGTTCCAAACGTGTCAAAGGTGGTGCAAGTCTGTAAACCTGGTAATTCATGACTTACATTCCTCATGCATTTTTCCACATTGCCGGCATCCATTGTGAGTGTGAGCCTTCGCCGTGTTACCATTGCTTGCTCATGCTAGTTTTTGTCAGGCTGCGTCTCTACTTTTTCTCATTTTCTTCTTGTTTTGGTGGCGACAAGTTCTGCAACATTCATTGGTTACACGTCTTGCATGCCCTAGAGCAATGTCTGTTCGATGTCAAAAATTACGAACCTTGCGCACAGACGCCCATTGTTGTTTGTGAGCTGGCGAGAGAAGCAACGCCATAGTTTTGAAGCAAATTCTTTCTTCCGTCTGGTAAGAAGTGCTTTCTTACTGTCCTAGCTATTTGAAGACTTGCACTGATGAACATTTAGTCTGTGTACAGTTTCGTCACCTATGGTAAATATAGGAATGGGAACTGGCATGGTAAGATATCTTTGTTGACGAGATTTTTGCAGGAAGTTTAGCCTCTACCAGGCTTCGAGAGGTGGTTGTGAAGAGTAGAAATAAAGTAGAGATAACATACCAGGGGAGTTGGGCCGCTACCCAAGGTTCGACAAACTGTACTCTCTAGCGGACCAACTCTCCTGGCATGTTATCTCTCTATTTGGCCAATTTGTACTCTTTCCAGCCGCCCCCCGAAGCCTGGTAGAGGCTACAGGAAGTTTTACTTAAGCGAGGGAGGGTATTGGGAATGGACCTGATCCAGAGGGATTTTCAGCTCAAGGAACACATAAACGTCAGGACAAAATCTGAAGAAATTCTGTAACACTTCGGTATGACATAATGGCGTGAAAGCGTGGACAAGTCTCCGTAACTGCTGGGCAAACTGGCATTATTAGACAGCCTAGATTTCAGGCTGTCATTTTACCCCTTCTGATATATTCAGTTTCACAGTTGTTTGCAGATCGTACTAGCAGATGCAGATAGATAGATAGATAGATAGATAGATAGATAGATAGATAGATAGATAGATAGATAGATAGATAGATAGATAGATGCTCCAAAAAGCGGAACTCTTCAAGGAAGTAGTTTTAGACCAGATAAAGGGGCTTCCCCTCAACTGGCCCTGTTCTGCTTCCATTGTTCAGCCTGCCCAAAATAGCTCACAACGTTGTGACGTAGACAGACAATGCGTCATTGGTTTCAGAAGATCTGATTGGATAAAAGACATCAGCGCCAGAATGAACTGGCCAATCAGAACAGAGGGCGTGGTTGAAAGACTCTTGTGCCATTCACAATACTTGTGTCATTAATTATCACATATCTGTTTGCCATAGAGTTGATTCATTTTACACATCCCAACTTTTCCCTCTCTTAGTAAAAGGTTGAACTTTATTCCAACACAAGTACAGAGAGATCACATTTTCAACGATCACTGTCGCCATCCTCAGGATAATTCATGACCAATCCCTCTCTCCTTTGATTTCAGAAAACTGGTCACGTCTCAAGAACCATGGCAAGAGTTCTCCCTGTCTTATTAATGGTATGCGCGATCAGCTGTGGCGTTGCCATGGAGACGTCGGAAACCGGTTCGACCGGAGGTGAAAGTTCACCGAACGTAAACAAGCGAGTCTGCGATTGTGGTCGGTCGAACCCGACTTTCTTTGCGTGCGTTTGTCCTGATCTGTCCAGCCTGACCCACGTAGCCCGGCAATCTCTGTCTCAAATTCTTTCTAGATTCTCAGAAATCACTGACTTTGCGGTGAGGTGCAAACAGAAATCATCAACGAACACCAGCGGACTGTTTGGCTTCCTCCCAGCATCAGTAAAGAAGCTGATGCTCTTTGATTGTTTCCAGCAGTATATAGGGAAGGAGGTTTTCTACGGTGTCCCTAATGTAGAGGACCTGACTATACAGTACTTCCCGTCTCTTCAACTAGAATCGGTTGGGAACTATTCCAACATCACCACTGCATCTTTTCCACCGGTTGAACTAGATCCTGAGCTATTTATGTCCATGCCACAACTACAGAAGCTCTCTCTGATCTATCTGTTTCTTGACAGATTCCCCAAAGCCCTCTATCAAAGAGTTAACGGTACATATCCCTTGCCAAACCTTAAGAGTCTTACTTTTCAAGGCAACAATATTTCATACCTAAGACCAGAATACTTACAGCACCTGACAAAATTGAGATCACTTTATATTGAAGCTAATCATATTTCAAAGTTATTGGCATCATTTCCATTCTTACCAGGCTTACAAATATTAAACATAGGTACCAACCGAATCAGATCTTTGTCCGGTTCCCCCTTTCGAAACCTTAGTAATCTACAATCATTAGATTTACATCAACAACTCGACAATTATAGTTACAAACACGGCTATCCCACTATTTTTGGAGTTTTGGGTGTAGGCGCCATGGAGTTCATTTTTTCCACTTCTTTTCTTGGACTGTCAAAACTAAAATCTCTTGATATGTCAGTGAGCAAGATTCGGTTTATTCCGAATGGCACATTTCAGGATTTGGAAAAACTTGAACAACTCAACATTTCTGATGGGCTTGTAGATCATATTGGGTTGTCAGCATTTCAAGGACTGGGTCTATTAAAGTCTTTGGACTTGAGTTATAACAACTTAACAACAATTGATCCTTCAGTATTTAGTAGTCTAACCTCACTTATTTCTCTTTATCTGCAAAGCAATTTTCTTCGCTCGATCTCTCGGACAACATTTGCAAACATGCCATATTTGTCATATTTGTACTTGGGAAACAATCGCTTAACAATGTTAACACATGAAACACTCAGTCCGCTACTGAACCTACGAACGTTAGATGTGCCCAAAAACCAGCTAGTCAATGTTGAGGAGGTTTTTTCCGGTATTACGTCTAACTTTTGCCAGAACATTGACCTATCCTACAACAACTTGGGGTCATTGGACATCTCATCATTGCAGATTCTCGGTATCGCTGGCAAAACTGTAAATGTCGACTTATCCCACAGCAATCTATCGCGTCTCTACAATACAGGAACTTACGGTTCTGTAGACGTGATGTACCTGTCCTTGACACTCGACCTAAGATGGAACATTTTCACTTGGTTACCGTTTGAGCTAGCAAGATACTGGTCTTTCAATAGATCAATGATATCGATTGCAAACATTTACGAACGTGATTATGGTGATATCTCCCTCCTGATGACTCAAAATCCACTAGTCTGTGACTGTGGGCTTTACGAACTTATGTTGAACATGGATGTCGCAAAACAAGGTGTCCTTTACACAAAGACTGACTTCGAACACATGGAATGCTGGCTTCCCGACACGCTACGTGGTAGAAAGGTGGTAGATCTCAGCCCTTCTGAACTGTGGTGCTCGCAGGAGTGCTACAACCGTCCGTACTATTGTCATTGCTTTAAGCATGCAGGAGAGCTAACTAAGTCAGCGGACCCTGAGTGTCAGTCAGAACGTAAGGCGTGCCCGTCAGAATGTTCCTGCTCGTTCCAAGGACAGCTGCATTCTTTCACAGCTCCTTACAATGAGTTGGTGAACTGTTCTCGGAGAAACTTGTCTTCCATCCCAGACGACATTTCCAACGTCACAACAATTCTTCATTTGGAAGGGAATCAGCTAACAGTCATCAACCAAACCGTTCTTCCCCAACTTTTGATGATACGAGAACTTTACCTAAATGACAATAACATCTCCTATGTTGGCGATATGTCGTTCAACAACTTCAACTCGCTTGAAATCCTTCGGCTCGACGGTAACAGCATCTCAGAGATAAACAGCCAAGTTTTCAAGTCCATCTCTAATCTACGAGAACTTTACCTGAACCATTCCGGTGTGAAATATCTAACCGCAGATACGTTTCAGGACCTTGCAAATTTACAGAAACTACACTTGGAGAACAACAAGCTCAAGTCTGTCCCAGAAAACGTCTTTGCTGGTTTGAAGAAGCTGACGTTACTCGGCATTCACGGCAATCCGCTGACCTGCGGCTGCGATGTTCTGTGGTTCGCGAACTGGCTGCGGAGTAGAGCGTTCCTTCTGTCACAAAGACGTAACGTCAGCTGCGTAGCAGGTACAAAAGTAACGCGGGACATTTTGAGTTTGTCGGCGGCACAGTTTGACTGCGATGACCTACAGGCAGCCCAAGCAAGAACCAGACGCACCATAGGTCTGTCGATTGCGTTGGTCCTTTTGACGATCATTTTAGTGTGCGTGATCGTCATCGTGAAGCGAAAAGAAGACATCCAAGTCTACCTGTACGCCAGGTACGGATGGAGGTTCAGGGAAGAAGAAGACGACGAAGACAAGGAGTACGACGCCTTCTTATCGTACAGTCAACACGACTTAGACATGGTGCTGCAAGACGTCTTGCCCGCGCTCGAGAACAGGGAGCCGCCGTTTCGCGTCTGCTTGCACCACCGCGACTTTCTCCCGGGCGTCCCAATCGCCGAGAACATCTTAAACGCCGTCAGTGCCAGCAAGAGAACCATCATTCTTCTGTCCAACAACTTCTTAGAAAGCGACTGGTGTCAGCTGGAGTTCCAGGCCGCGCACGCGCAGATGCTACAGGACAGGGCTAATCGCGTGATCGTGATTCTACTGGACGACATCCCCGCCGAAAACGCCCCTGCGGACATCCAGCATTACCTGAAGACCAACACGTACCTGAAGTGGGGGGACGAACGCTTCTGGGAACGGCTGATTTACGCCATGCCGAGACCCAGGCCGCATGCGCAAAACGAGGACGGAGATCAGCTGGCCATGGTCGAACTGGACCACAATGGTTGACCTCTTGACCCCAAAAGCACGGTTACAAAAATTTCAAACAGGTCTATGCCTCGCAGCTAGCCGTCTATGCACTTTGTACATATATTGGGTCAAGTTCTGCCAATCTTTTTTTCGTATCAAGAAAGAATTGTCTTTGACCTCCAAATTCAAGATGGCGGAAAGTCGATGACGCATTCTAAACAGTTCGAGTTCGAAAACACAAAGAGGCATCAAGAGCAGCGGTCTCTTTGGCTACAAGATGTAAATATGATATCAGATATAGGCTTTGTTATCAATACTCTGTAATACTGTGAGGAATGGTGCCTTCGTTCTGAAAAACAACATACAGTAATAAGTGTAAGGACAAACAATCCTGGATTTCGTATTAAGTGATCTAATATGGACATAATGTACAAAGGTGATGGTTATGTTTAAGTATATGTGAGGCATAAGTGTTATCTTGTGGTGTTCTGGGTTCGAGGAATTGTTTGATATAACATTTTAGGTCTTTAAAAGTAGTTGTAGTTAGGAGTGTAAGGACAAACAATCCTGGATTTCATATCTAGTGATCTAATATGTACATATTGTACAAAAGGTGATGGCTATGTTAAAGTTGATGTGGGGCATAAGTGTTACCTTGTGGTTAAGGTGTCGTTTGTTCTGATATTTTAGATATCTTAAAAGTAGTTGTTAAGAGTGTAACGATAACAACGTGTTTAACCGTCAGATATGAATAAAGTATTACATCCGAAGTAAAGGAATGTGTGTTTGACTCTATTTGCTCCCAGTAATGTAAGGTTTATTTTACATTTATCATTTTGTGTAAATGATTCTTACACAAGCTCAAACCAGCCTGGCGGAGTAATCTAAACATCAGATTATTTAGTGCCCTGGGGGAAAGGACGAGTGAGGCAGACATAATCACCGAAACAACCACACTGTGCGACATTCTCTGCAGTTACCTTGAAGGATACACAATAGAAAACAAGACTGGTAATGAAAACATACATTGCCATGGCGACGGTGGTTGCTGTTAGGGTTATTGTTTGCATGGCACTACCATGATTTTGAGGAAGACTTGGTACCTGTTAAGTCTAGACAGAAACAGTGCACTCCTCCCCTGAGTGCAGGCCTGCCTGAGTGTATAGTGAACGAGCCCCTGGGTCACAGAAAGTAGGGCCATACGGGGCAGAGAGGTCTTCCCAAGGGTTTCCAGGAATGTGGGCGTAGATGTGGGTCAGAGACATGCCTGTACCATTCCTAGAATACTTGCAAACTGCACACAATACTGTACCATTAGGCTCCTCCCTGAGACGTCGTCAAAAAAGAGTGTCCATAAATATTCAACCACACTCCGAACTACAGTAGAGCTTTGAAAAACAGTCATGTGGTTTAAAGTCAATTAACTCTTTAACATAATGGTATAACCTTTAACATCTTTGTACCAGCAATACGCAACTTCCCTAAGGGCAAATCCCTCGATTATTCTGCCAGAATAATCACATGGGCTCGTTTCAGATGTTATAAAAGGTAAGAAGCCTAAAAATAAACCTATCTTTCAGCTTACATCTCTCGCAGCAAATTTAAATGGAGTCAAACACAGAAAGTACAAAGGCAGATAGCTGCAGATATAATACTTTATTCATATCTGATAAAATTGAATAATTTACAAATCAAATTCCCATTACCAAACATCTAAATCTACTCCTGAAATTTAAAAAAAATCTAAGTAGTACTCCTCAACCGTACTGTTGGGCCGGCGTACACCACCAAGTGGGATTTTACATGATCTACATCATAGTACAACATCATAGTACTACGTCGTCACCTCTGTTTTCACCACTTCAAACAAAATGGTTTTAGATCACGTACATAGCATTATTACACTATTATATTATCATAGAACAGTTAACAAATACAATATTAAGACTACCAGTTTACCTCATATATTTACACTCTTAATTACAACTACTATCAAGATAACTCCTTGAATCACAAGACAACGTTTATCACCCATATACTTCACCATAGCCATCAACCTTTTAGTACATTATGTATAAAGTAGTCACTAAACACGAAATTCACGATTGCTTGTCCTCATACCAATTACTATGCCATATTTCAAAATACACCATTCCTTTACAGAGTATCAATAATATATATATATCTGAACCTATTATATTATTTACATTTGCCTAATAACCAACGAAATTGATGCATTTCTATGTTTTTGACTTGGAATGTCATCAAACGGGCACTCTCATTATTGGCCGTCCACAATCTTGAAGTTGAAGGTCGAATACAATTCTTTTTCGGTGCGTAAACTTTGAAAGATGGTGGAACTTGACCTAGCAAGTCCTAGACCTATTTGGAATTTCTGTACCCTGGCCTGGTGGGGTCAAGTGGTCAACCATTGTGGTCCAGTTCGACCATGGCCAGCTCATCTCCGTCCTCGTTTTGCGCATGCGGCCTGGGTCTCGGCATGGCGTAAATCAGCCGTTCCCAGAAACGTTCGTCCCCCCACTTCAGGTACGTGTTGGTCTTCAGGTAATGCTGGATGTCCGCAGGGGCGTTTTCGGCGGGGATGTCGTCCAGTAGAATCACGATCACGCGATTAGCCCTGTCCTGTAGCATCTGCGCGTGCGCGGCCTGGAACTCCAGCTGACACCAGTCGCTTTCTAAGAAGTTGTTGGACAGAAGAATGATGGTTCTCTTGCTGGCACTGACGGCGTTTAAGATGTTCTCGGCGATTGGGACGCCCGGGAGAAAGTCGCGGTGGTGCAAGCAGACGCGAAACGGCGGCTCCCTGTTCTCGAGCGCGGGCAAGACGTCTTGCAGCACCATGTCTAAGTCGTGTTGACTGTACGATAAGAAGGCGTCGTACTCCTTGTCTTCGTCGTCTTCTTCTTCTTCCCTGAACCTCCATCCGTACCTGGCGTACAGGTAGACTTGGATGTCTTCCTTTCGTTTCACGACGACGATCACAAAAACTAAAATGATTGTCACAAGAACCAACGCAATCGACAGACCAATGGTGAGTCTGGTTCTTGCTTGGGCTGCCTGTAGGTCCTCGCAGTCAAACTGAGCCGCCGACAAGCTCAAAATGTCCCGCGTTACTTTTGTACTTGCTACGCAGCTGACGTTACGTCCTTGTGACAGAAGGTAGACTCTACTCCGCAGCCAGTTCGCGAACCACAGAACATCGCAGCCGCAGGTCAGTGGATTGCCGTGAATGCCGAGTAACGTCAGCTTCTTCAAACCAGAAAACGTGTTTTCTGGGAGAGACTTGAGCTTGTTGTTCTCCAAGTGTAGTTTCTGTAACTTTGCAAGGTCGTGAAACGAATCAGCTGCTAGATATCGCACACCGGAATGGTTCAGGTAAAGTTCTCGTAGATTAGAGAGGAACTTGAAAACTTGGCTGTTTATCTCTGAGATGTTGTTTCCGTCGAGCCGGAGGATTGCAAGTGAGATGAAGTTGTTAAAAGTCATATTGCCGATCTGTGATATGTTATTGTCATTTAGGTAAAGTTCTCGTATCATCAAAAGTTGGGGAAGAACACTTTCGTTGATGACTGTAAGCTGATTCCCTTCCAAGTGAAGGATTGTTGTGACGTTGGAAATGTCGTCTGGGATGGAAGACAGGTTCCTCCTAGAACAGTTGACAAGCTCGTTTAATGTAGCTGTAGAAGAATGCAGCTCTCCTTGGAACGAACAGGAGCATTCTGACGGACACGTCATCCAGTCTGTCTCGCACTGGGGGGTCCTGAACAGTTTACCCGCTTGCTCAAAGCAGTAACAATAGTACAATCGGTTGTCGCACTCGTTCGGGCACCACAGCTCAGAAGGGCTCAGATCTACCACCTTTCTACCCCGGAGGGTGTCGGGAGCCGCACATTCCATGTCTTTGAAATCAGTTTTTGTGTAAAGGACGCCTTGTTCTGCGACATCCAAGTTCGAGATGAGCTCGTAAAGGCCACAGTCACATACCAGTGGGTTGTACGTCATCAGGAGGGAGATATCTCCATATTCCTGGCTCCATCCTCTGACATATCCCATTGGTATTCTAGATTTACTGAATTTCCGAAACAAACTTGTTTCAAACGGTAACGACGTAAACCGATTCCACCTTAGATCGAGCATCAAGGACAGATCCCTCGCCTTGGAAGCAATGGAATATGCTGATGCATTAAGAAACCACAGGTAGTTGTGGGTTAAATTGACATGTACAGTTCTGTGATCGATACCGAGATTGTTCAATGACGCGGGGTCCAATAATTGGAACCTGTTGTGGGATACGTCAATGTCCTCGCAAAAGTCAGACGTGATACCGAAAAAAACCTCCGCAGCATCGACTAGCAGGTTTTTCTGTACATTTAACGTTCTCAAGTTCTGTAGAGGACTGAGTGTTTCACGCGTTAATGTACTTAAAAAGTTGTTTGCTAAGTTCAAGTTTAACAAATACTGCATGTTTTCAAATGTCGTCGGAGAGAGATAGATAAGGAAATTTTCTTGCAGACGAAGATAGAGAAGTGAGCTTAGACCATCAAACACTGAAGGATCTATCATTATTAAGTTGTTCTTACTCAAGTCCAAAGACTTTAAGAGACTCAGTCCTTGAAATGCTAACCGCCCAATAGAGTTTACAAGCCCATCAGAAATGTCCAACCTGTCAAGATTCTTCAACTCCCGAAATGCACCATTCGGAATTGACTTAATGTAACTCTGTGCCAATGTAAGAGATTTCAGTTTGGACAGCCCCAAAAAAGTAGTGGGGAAAATGAACTCCAAAGCGCCTATACCAATAATACTTGAAGAATTGTATTTAGAAGAGTTGCTATTCTTGTCTAAGGAGTATTGTCCATGCAAATCTAATGACTGTAGATTACTGAGATTTTGAAAGTGAGAACCGACCAAAGAACGGATTAGGTTATTGGCTATACTTACACTTTGTAAGCTAGGTAAGAATGGAAATGATGCTGATATGTTTGAAATACGACTAATGTCAATACTAAATGATTTCAAGTTTGTCATGTGATGTAAATATTCGGGTTTTAGGTATGAAATTCTATTGCCTAGAAGACCAAGACTCGTTAGGTTTGGCAAGGGATATGTACCATTGACGTCTTCATAG